TCATGAAAGTGGTGAGCAGCAAGTAGTATAGATCTACATCATATCTCCACCCCACTAATTAAAAACAAACTCTATTCAGGAAATTTACACCTGTTTTTAATGGATGCTTCTTTTTTTTTTCAGTACTGTCAGATGTGTAGGAAAGGAGATAACGAGGACCTCCTCCTGTTGTGTGATGGCTGTGACAAAGGCTGCCACACTTACTGCCACAAACCCAAGATCACCAGTATCCCAGAGGGAGACTGGTACTGCCCAGCCTGCATATCGAAGGTATCAGATCCAATTATAATGTCTCTGTAATTTCAAAGTTTAGGAAAATATTCACACCACAACATTTAAGGCATTTTCCAATTTTGGTATTTAACAGCCAAAACAGACATTTTTTTATTAAAACTGTTGATGGATTTACTTTAATTCAACCATTTTCATGCTTTCAAAGAATTGTGGAGAGTAGAGAGAGACCAAATACTGTAATGGCAACATCACCGGTCCTTCAAACTGGGGGCCGGCAACGTTGCCATTACAGTATTTGGTATACATCTTAACTAACAATTCCGCTAAGGTTTTATTATATTTCCCCTCACCTTTTATTGTCTGCAGCATAGATCTAGCCTTTGTCCTATAAAATGACAATAAAACTTTCCATTCATATTCATACTAATAAAATTCTATGAAGCTGGAAAACACAGAATGTTTTTATGTAGATGTGGTCAGGGAAGAAACTAATTAATATTGGTGGTGTAAGATATGACAAATTGAACTAATAGTTTGGAAAAGGCCAGTATTAGTACAATAAATTGGTCGAAGTGGACACTATACTATTAGTTTTAATTGCACCAGAGCTCAGAAAATGCATTGTTTACTCTCTGCAGGCAAGTGGTCCATCTCCCAAAAGCAAAAAACCTCCAAGCAAACAAGTAGCATCCAGTGGAGGAGGTGGTAAGAAAGGTGGAGAGGTAAAGAAGAATGGGAAGCAGGCAGGTAACGGGGAAGTGTCGGAGGATGACCCGGCCAGCGCCAGCAGCACACCCAAGAAAGGAGCAAAAGACACCAGCAGGAAGAGGAAACCCGAGGAGAGCTCACCTGCTCTGCCAGCAGCCAATCAGGAGAGCCCTGTGTGTGTGAAGCGAGCCAAGACAGCTAGAGACAACAACAGGGACCTGGGATTATGCAGGTACGTGCCCCTGACTTGCTCATACTTGTCTTTTATGTTGAATTCTTTTCATTTCTTTATCTCCCTCTTTCAAACTGTTTTACAGTAGCTGCCATTTACTGTAGGACTGAATCAAGCAGCCGCAGGGAGCTGATGTGTTTTCACTTTATCTGTATGTAAGAATCTTTTGTGATTTAACACTGACATTTAAGATCCTCTTTTTTGCCTTTTCTACCAACATTAAAATATTTTTTCAGCACAAAGTCTATAACTATAAGGCTGAGTTTTTTTGGCTAGTATAAAAACACAGACATCATTAAAGACTTCCAGAGCTTTTTTGCTGAAATTTAGCTGCCTACTGCGGCCCAAAATGTGAACCAAAACAGCAAAGTTTTGGGCTGTAAAACCAACAACAAACAATGAGCTGAAATATGCTACCAACGCTCTGTAGAGCTGAAGGAAACTGCAGTCTGTTGATAATTATCTGTATGTTTATTTTCATGAGTAACATATTTGATTCTTCGTTTATATAAAAAATTTCAAATATTGATTACAGCTTCTTTAAAGGACAGCTGTCCAACAAATGAAGTTCTTGTCTAACCATGTGTGTGTGTGTGTGTGTGTGTGTGTGTGTGTGTATTTGTGTGTGTGTTCAACAGGGTACTCCTTGCTGAGTTGGAGCGGCATCAGGATGCATGGCCTTTTCTCACACCTGTCAACCTGAAATCGGTTCCTGGCTACAGGAAGGTTATCAAGAAACCGATGGACTTCTCCACCATACGTGAGAAGCTTGTGAGCAGCCAGTAAGTTCCTGTCACTTCTTTTTGTTCTTTTTCTACTGAATGCCTTCAAGGCCCTTGAACTGAATTTAAAGTCAGTTTTAGTTACACCACAGTATGTGATGTATCAGCTGTATGTAAGTTGTACTTTCTCACCATAAGACCTTTTTTTTTCATTTCAGGTATCAAAACCTGGAGACGTTCATCATTGATGTCAACTTGGTCTTTGATAACTGCGAAAAATTCAATGAAGACAATTCAGACATTGGTCGAGCTGGTCATAACATGAGGAAGTTCTTTGAGAAGCGCTGGACTGAGCTTCTGAAACAAACAAACTAAAAGTCTGTTCAGATTCTTCCCATAAACCCATTCAACTTTTCATATCGGAGCACCAGGTTTTACTTTTATTTTTATTTTCTGATGGAGAATGTGGCTTTGCAGGATGGAAGAAGTCAAATCTTCATTAAGGAACCCATGGTCTGCTATAGAGAGATGTCACCTTGATAAAAAAAAAGCCGTTACATGAGGTGAGCTGGATTTTATTACAACAGGGATAAAAGCCCCAAAGAGTCCCAGTGAAATGGGGTGTTGTAGTGCAATACCATTCCCTGTCTCAGAACACTGCACTGAATAAATCCTCAACTGTCACTGTCTGCGCTAGAATACTTTCCACTACTTGTAAATAGCCTTTTGTTATTTAATCGTATTATAGTGAATGTATTTAATTTTGTAATAATTATTTATGAATCAAGGTCCACTTCATTTTCTATGAAAAGGAAGAATCAGCTGAACTGCTTTGAATTAAAAAAAGGAATGTGTCTTTGTGTTATAATTTTTCTCCCAAATATCAAACAAAGCCAAGAAAAAAAAAACCTGAAACTGTTTACACTGTTCAGTACTTTGGGGCATCAGAGGACTGTATTCATTTGTTCAAACTGTAAAACTGCATTTATTTACAGGAACGGCAGAGGAACAGTTAGACAATGGTGATTCATGTGTATATACTGTTTATTAATGTCAATATTATGTCTTGTTTGGAACGACGTGTAAAAATTGTTTAAGAATATTAAGATATTGTTTATGCCTTAGAATGATTGTAGCATTCTATTTTAGTGAACGTGATGAAAACATTATCATAAATATTGTTTGTACAGTATATACATATCCTCTGCAAACACTGTGGTATCCTTAATCTTGGTAGTGCCTACCCTTCCAACAGGGGCATGTAGGGGATGTTATTGTTTTTAGTTTTCATTCTTACGACAGCATTATTTTTTTAATATGATTTCAATCCAACAAGGCCTCCAAAGTTGGACAGTGACACAGAAATCATTCCTCACCATAGCAGATAAAAAAAAAGGAACAACAAGCATTCAGTTATGCTTCCATGATGCATTTCCTCGTAATCTGCCACAATACAGAGGACCTAAGGCCATTTGTAACCACTGTGTTGAACCTTGCTGTGTGTTGTGGCCTGATGGAGGCAGCTAGATTTTTTTGTATCCAAGTCAAGAGTACTTGAAGTTACTTTATTTAAGATATTGTGGAATAAAAGTATCATTCTTTTGTAGGAGCTTTATTTTTCACTAGTGTGTGGCACGGACCTATTAAAAGGATGTTTTTCAACGTAAATGTCTTAAACTTGTTTTATTTCAATTCCATCCTACAGAGCTGATTTTGAGAAAAGGTGTTGTGGTAGATCGATGGATTAATCACTTTTGTTCACTCAAATTAGAAATCATGTATGCATTTATGACCATAATCTGATTCTGAATTCAGTTTCACATGGGGGGAGGTCTTTTCAAGCTTAACAGTCGAAAGTTCATAGAAAGTTTATCCAATACCTAAGTCTGGTGCCAAAACACAAATGTCAAAAATTTATATATCTTTAAATGTGCATTAAAATTATGCAAATTTAAAAAAAGGAAGTTGTTAAGTTAATGAATTACAAAAACATTAATTTCATAAGGATGCTTGGAGCTTAATCTTAAAATTAGATTGATTTAAAGCAGAAAGTTGAAAATTTAGTTCTCTTTCCTTTTGGAAGTAGTCGCAATTAACACACATTTGGGAATTAAAATATGGATGACAAAGTTTTAAACTCCAAGTGCAAGCAGAAGTACGACAGAATGGAAATGTGCTCAAATCAGTTTGACAAATTCAGATGGCAAAAATGGCAAGTTCCTATTTTCCAGATCTCAGATAGTAATTTATTTCTGTTGAATGCAAACCTTAAAGAACCTCAAAGTTTTCACAACTACAAAAATGCATGAAGTCAATTGTGGAAGAACTAATTAGACCATTTACTCAAGTAAAAGTAGCAGTACCACACTCGAAAATTATCCATTGCAAGTCTGATGTCATTTAGGTGAAATTACATCAGTATTGGATTCAGATTGGCTTCTGTCAGTGTTTCACATTTGATGCGTCAACATGTAAGCAGCATTACACATTCATCATATTTTTTGTCTGTAGCTCTGTGTTAACCTGAAAAGTAAAATAAGGCTGTAAAATAAATGTAGTGGAGAAAATCAAAACGCAATATTTCCCACTGAAGTGTAGTCCTTGCCCATGTGAAATGGTCACATGGTGGATTCACAGATACAATATCACTATCTGCCTGACAATGAGCACACCAAATATGCCTACTAAACACATACAGTGATGAATTATAGGTGCTAAGAGCCCAACAGTATTCATAAGAAGTGTAATTATAAAATATTACACATGAATCATTTTCCAATGGATTCCAAACGGCCGTGTTCACGCAATGAAATTTGTATTTATAAGTCCTGACTGAACACCTTCTGAAGTCTTCAGATGGTGTTCAGTTACACAGAGAGTGACGTAACCCGCTTACGTCACGGTCAGCTGTGCGATGAGGAAGTAAACATTAATTCAAGTGGACGGACAACGCGACGGAGAAAGGTACAACACACTGCTGTAGTTAGATGTAGATAGCGTTACAATTACATTTTATTTTATTTACCGTCTGAGTTTGTGTGCGTTGAGGTGTTTTGTCACCGTTTTTTCGCGCTGGTGAACAATATTTGATTTTAGGAATTAGCTTCTCGGCTCTGCCGCACCGTTAGCTTTCGAGCCTTAGCTACAGTAATGTTAACAACACATTTTCTTGGTGTCTTAGTCTTGGAGTTTCCATATTTAAAAAGGACATCTATAGCCTATGTGCCTTTTTCCTGGTCTGCTGTTGAACTTGAACGAGCCATTTGGAAAGTCTGAGGTGCTGCACAGATGGACACATGGACTAAATTATAACAAAAGCGAACTAGTTACTGTTGAGGGCAGTGCCCTAGACTTGAAACTTTGACTCCAGTCAAACCTAAAGAAAATAGTATTAAGACTTAACTTTTTTGAGATTTGACCCCCTGAAGACTTGACTTGAGGAATAAAAGTAACAAAAAGATAAGATAAATGTCTAAACTTTTAACCTGATGAAATCCCTGAACAATTAAAAAAAAGTCTTATTTAATTAATCCCACGTGCAATAAGTGCTCTTAATTAAAAAAATAAACTGTCTCTTGGTTCCCTGCACAGCTTAGCAAGATATTTTTCTTATCGTTACTCTTTGGGTTGCAGCTTTTGTTGCTTTTATCGCAACACCCATTGTCTTATTATGAACTGTATAGACATAGTTCAGCCCTTTCATGTTAATGTTTCACGTTTGTGTTTTATGCCTCTAAAAGAACTTCCTCTTGTGGGTCAATAAAGATCTGAAAAGAAATAGACAATGACAGGCAGGCCTAACTTAGCTAATTATCTTGAGTGTTCAGTTAGACCTGTGTATTCATTGGGGTGAGGTCTCAGCTTCATGATACATTAACCAACTTAACCAAATGTTAAAATGCTGCAACTAACAATAAAAAAAAAGTAAAAAATTCAGTCCATTAAATTGTCAGAAAATAGTTTTGACAGGTGCCGCTGCACAATCTCTAAAAGCCCAATGTGGTGTCTTGTCTTGTTTTGTCTGTCCAGAAATCTAAACCTGTCAAGCAGGTGTGGACAAGACAGCAAGGGGAAAAGGCCCAAAATGCTGATGATCACGCAGACAGAACAGTTCAGTTATTTAATTGCAAAGTGATGATACTTAAGCCTATAAACAACTATAACAAGTCCAGACAGAAGCAGTACAGAATTCACTAGTAAACAGGAATACGGCAGGTAAAAGTGACAGGCAGGTACAGATTAGGGTTCGAGTGGCTCGAAAGTAAAGGCACGAAGCAACATTGGTGATCAGACCTAGAGCAGGTGGAGATGGGTTGGTATACATACTGTGGGGGGTGATTGGGGAGTGAGGTGACAGGGAGCGGTGGGGCAGTCTGTGGGCATCTGGTGGATGGATGGAGAATGGCAAGTCTGGATAGTTCCTAAGAAATGCACAGGACAGACGGGCAGACTGAGTTAAATAAAAACTACTTATATTCAATTTACATAGATAAAAACCAAATTCTCATCTTTGAGAAGCCGGAAAATGCAAATGTTTGGGCTTTTTAATGATTGGAGTTTCTGATAAAACTCAACAGACTTAGTATCATTAGTTTCAGCTTTAATGCGGTGTACGGTTAATGATCAGCATATTGACTTGCAATTTGTTTATCAAGACTTGTGACAGGACCCACTCCAAAAGATTTAAAACTGCTCTTGTTGAGGGAACAATGTGAGCTAATGAGGAAGGAATATAAAATTAGTTAAATAATGTATTCTTATGTGTTTTTCGATGCTGTTTGAAATATATTCCTATATCATGTCTCTGTGAGCCATTTTCTCCTTTCCCATCATTCCCTCTCTGTGAACTATAGGACCGGCTCTCCAAATGACGTCTCTGATTTGCACGTTACAAGACCACGGAGACGATGTCAACTGGTGTGCTTTCTCTGCCAAACTGTTAGCCACATGTTCTGGGGACAAAACTCTCAGGATATACAACACCCATGACTTCTCAGAGCTGCCCTTTTCACCGCTGTCAGGACATGGCTACAGCGTGCACTGCTGCTGCTTCAGCGCCTGCGGACAGTTCCTTGCGTCATGTTCGACTGACGCCACCACACTGGTCTGGTCCATGGACACGGGTGAGATCGAGGCCGTCCTGGAGCATCCTGGTCGCAGTCCTGTGAGGACCTGCGCTTTCTCTCCGGACTCTGCCCACCTTGTTTCAGGTGCTTCTAATGGCACTTTAGCTCTGTGGGATTTCTCCTCCAAACAGCTGCGCAGGTAGAGTTGACAAGTTACATTTTTATAGCGCAGAAACAATTAGTCGAACAACATCATTTGCAAAAATGTTGTCATAGGTTTGATTTTTAGCTCACTATGTTTTGATATTTTATAGGCTAAATGACTGCTAGATTAATTGGACAAATACTCAGCAGATTAAGTGATAATTAATATAATTTGGTTATTGCATTGGCCCATTACTTATAGAAATACAGCACAGCACAAGTCTCTCATATCTTGACAGAAGGAGCTGAAAACCTCTGCAAAAACTCTCCCGACGTTGTTATACCTGAACAATGTGCCTATTTAATGCAGCTGCTGCTGCTTTTGTGTTGTGCTTGTGTAGGACCGGAGCAGTGAATGACACAACACTGGTAGCTTGCTCCTTCAGCCCCTGCAGTCAGGTGTTCATGACCGGCTCCACCTATGGAGACCTCCGTCTGTGGGACCTGGACCTGAACCAGCTCCATGCAGAGAAAAATGCCCACGACCTGGGGGTCACCTGTTGCACCTTCGCTCCCAGCATCCTCAGTGGTGAGAACCATTGCTGTGCTCTGACCATTTATCAACTGCTCTGTGGGACACGGCCTAGTCAGGTGTTTCTGGCAGAAGAAGAAATCCTAACAATAAAATGAGTGTTATTAAATTAAATATACTTATTTTTCATTTTTGTTGCATACATTTTTTGGGAAAGAGTCCCTCACATCTGATAATTAAAAAGTTTGGCCGAGATGTGAAGAGGCAGGATATTTTACAGTTAAATTAGAATGAATAACTTTAAATAAAATATATATATATATATATATATATATATATATATATATATATACAGGTATTTATATAAGTATAAACCTGAAATTAAGAAAATTAAGGGTCAACTGTACATGACACTGCAGCCTATAAAACTTGCTTTTGCATATTTGTCGACATATATACTGATATCACTGTAATAATGTCAGCCTGCTGGAGTTGGGTTTTACATAAAGCCCGCATGTCACCTCGTTACAGTATCCTACATCCTGTCACATTCTTCAGACAAATACTGAAAAAGTCATCCTTTATAAAACACGAAGGTGGTGGTATAACTCCTAAAATCCACTGACTCCGGCTACGGCGCGTTACGGCTGCGCCATGGTTGCAGGAGCTAATTGTGGCCATTATAGTCAATTCTTGTGAGTCCACCAGATGGGCCGCAGCGTGTCCCAGAAGTGGCTCTCCGCTCCGCTCCACAGAGAATAGGTAGCAGGTACCTGCTGCTATTTTTGACGCAAGCCGGGTCAAGCAGTACAGAGCAGATCGAACCAGGCAGGAAATCAGAGACAGAACGGCAAAGAGAATCCGGGCAATATTCAAAATAAAACACCCTGTGGAGACTCCCGTTCGTAAAACAACAATAAACACGGTTAAAACAGACACAAAAAGAAATCATTTAACTATGTAGCCTACTAAATCACAGTGGAAGCACAAAATACAAACACTAATTACCAAATCCACAAAATCTAAACATGTCAACAAAATCAGGCAGGCAAAATGCTCCTTGTGGGAAATGCAGTCTGAAGTTGACAGAATAAAACGGGGTCACAGAGAGCTGTGAAGAAGGCAGTAGAAGCACAAAAATATAAAATTAATAACAAGTCAGTAACGTGGGGCAGGCTGCACGGTGCTGAAACGCTTCGGTGCCGTAGCCGGAATCACTGGATTCCTGGAGTAAGAGTGTAATTGTGGTAATATTGATATCCACCCTTCCCTAAGGTTTGTCAGAATCCTGTCAGTGGTGTCAGTGATGTTGTGTGTTATCAACAGAAACGTGACGCACAGCTGATGTGTTTTGCCTCTGTCTAATTTCACTGTTGGGGGAAAATAACATATATTTCCGATTTCTTTGGTGTAATGCAATGTTTGTTTCTTTTAGGTGGTCAAGTTGTGCAGTTTCATCTGGCATCATGTGGGCAAGACAGTCTCCTCAAGATCTGGACCATTAACAAGTTCTACTCTGGAGGTAGAGTGACATATCTTTACAAGCTGGAATATCTATCTATCGATCGATCAGTATTTAGACAGTGGCTAATTTACTCTGTGTTGGAGAAACTCCACTCCGCACATACTGTAGTTGTCTAGACTAGAGACAACTCTGAGGCTGAATATTGATGTGTGCAGTTTCTGTATCAATTAACTTCAATCTGATTACAGCCCTCAGAGGCACAGCCCTTCATCTGTGTAACTGGTTTGTAATATATCAGCACCAATAAATCAAGGCAAATCACTGGTGCTGCGAAATAAAAGTACATTGTCTTTTAATTAAATCCAGAGTACCTGCCTGTTCAACCTTTTTTCCCCCTCTGTTTTTCAGGCTATTTATTGTTTGTATTTATGCACAGATTTGGCAAATTAAATGTCCTCACTTTTCTGCGTTCAACAACTCCCCTTCTTTCTTTCTGTCTTTTTGTCTCTCACTTTTTTTGGTGGATTTTTTATCAAGGCAACATTAACATTCATCACTCGCAACACAATCCAGTCTTCATTAAAAAAAGTCCTAACTGTTGAATGGCTTACTGGTCAGTTTGACATCTGTCAGAGGGGAATAGTTGACTCATTTCTGTGTGTGACTGCAGTTGTTTCTCTCTTTTGTAGCCTATAACATGCAGCTCCTGCACACATTGACTGGCCAGTCGGCTCCAGTCCTCTCCTGTGCGTACTCCTCAGATGGGCAGCTGCTTGTGTCTGGGTAGGATCTTAAAGAAGGATAAGAATATTGGTTTACCTTTCTGTCAACCATTTACCAAAAGCTTATTTCAAGTTTTTAGATAGATTTCTTTTTTTTCCGGGCAGCCAATATTTTCTGTCTGTGGCAGCGCAGTATGAAAATTAACTTGCAGGGACTAAAACTTGCTTGAAATATGTAACCCAGCACAGCTATCATTCACTCATCTTTACTTTTTGGTTAAGTTGTGTTAATATTGCATGGTAATGTTATTTTAAAGAGTGAGTTTGTGACAAATGCACCACTGCCCAGTGGCTGTTCAGGAGATATAGCAAAGGTTGCTGTTTGCACCAACAGCAAGGAAACACTTTCCCATCTGCATTATCACACACTAAAAACACAACTCTGACAACAAAAATAAAAAATGATACAATTTTCACTGTGATGTAAGTATTGCAAACCAATTACTTCCTGGAATGTAAGAAAATATCAAAAATATTTTAGTACACTTACATAAATCATGTAAATTGGGTTGGAACATGCAAAACCACTTGTTTGTTCCTTTTTTAACCATCTTGATTCCCTCAAGAAAATTCACAAGTAATTGCTGGAGCTGCAAACCATATGCTAAATCCATATTTCACATCAATCTCTTGATCATAAATGGATCAATATCAATCTCTTGATCTCTTGATCTATTTAGGATCAAGAGATTGATGTGAAATATAGATTGTTTGCCTGGCTGTATAAGTAGGCCACACAACTATAAGAGTGCAGTACTTAAGTTGAACCACTGGAGGGAGACATGGATTGCTTAATTCTTCATAAGTGACTGTGGATCTGAGCATGCTATAACAAATAGTTTGTTATTTAAAATATTCCTCTCAATAAATAATCAATATCACAATTTTATATTTTGATATCCTTTAGCTCTGTGGACAAAACTGTTACAGTCTATGATGCTGTAAGTACCTCTATTCTTTGTTGATTTACATGGCAGTAAAAGGATTTACCATATACTTAAATTATATACGGCTCCATTCATAAGATAACAGTCATATTTGTTTTGTGTTACACTTTGTCTGTTTGCAGAAAAATGCAGTTTTGCTTTACACATTGAAGCAGCATGAGAGGTAAATACTCATTTCCTCATGTGGTTAAGTTTTGTTTGCTGGACTTGCTCAGTGAATATTAGCCTGAATTTGTAAAAGTCCCAAAGTAAATTAATAAATGTTCCTCTTATCTTACAATATAATGTGTATAAGTAGTTATATAATTTAATGTCCTTTCACATATTTGTATCTTTAAAAAAATCTTGTATTGAGAGAATGTAGTGACAATATTTAAATCTTCAATATTTAAAAACATATTTTATCAAAATTATAATTGTGTTTTTCTGGTAAAACATTTGAAACCAATAATTTGTATTTCTCACTCCTGGATGTTGTTTGTGCGGAATTCCTAAAAGAGGTCTTTCACAGGTTCTTTTGGTTGCTGGTGGTAACTATTCTGTTTACAAATATACACAAGTTCAGTCTCTCTTTAATAAAGATATTTTGGGGGAAAATCTACTGCAAGATGCTTTGCAATGCGAACACTTAAAACAAACAAAAAAACAGGTATTGGTGGTATATTAAGCTATTCTGGACCTAATTTATTTAGTTCCTCAATTCCACTGGACAAATATGATGAGACGTCAGATGGATATATTTCCACTCTGGTGTTATTTAGTTTTGAAAGCACAAATTGTTCAGTCATATAAAACATGAGCAGTAAATGTCATTTCCAAAATAAATCACTTGTCGGGAAATCAGAGACACCACACATAGTCCATTTAATTGATTATGACCCAATATGGTCACAAACCATGCCTTTAGCATTTTTATAAAAAGGGGGGACTTTTATCACTCCGTCTCTTCCCCTTAAACGCACACATAAGCCACAGCTGAATGATCGCACTTGCAAGCTATTTATAAGTCCATCAAGCCACCTGTGATTGAAAGGCAGAAAGCTCACTTTCTTTCGATGGGGAAAATGAAAGACTTATTGGGAAAGCGCTAGCTGAAGTGGAGGTAGATGAGGCAAGTTGAGAAGTAGACGAGAGAAAGTGGATAAATGGCAAAAAAGTAAATCATAACATTTGACAAAATACCTCCAGGAAACTGACTTTAGACACACTGGTAGTATAGCAATATGAGAGCATCTTGAAGTTGGGTTTGTGCATGTCTTTCTCTAAATTCTTATCGGAGGTTTTATGAGACGTTGTTTGAAGCCAAACAGCTTTTGTGGATCAACATTTCCGAGCAAATCTAGCTCAGGTTTTAGAGAGACTGTCCTCATTAACTTTGACAATCTTGACTTGTCTGAAAATCTGATGCTTATTTAGATCTTCAATGTGGTAAGCCATCACTGAATTTGCCCTCTGACGGAGAACATTTCCATCCCTGCAACATATTTAGGTCTGGTATTGAGCCATAGTGCCCACCTTTTAACCCTGTAAGAGTCAAACTGTAGCCCCAGATCTTCAGACAGGGACATTACAGCTAATAAGAAGCCCAGGACAAAGAATTGGGGCTTTTGGCTTCAGGTTCTCAATGCTTTGAATGGACCTCTAATGCTCACAGAATTATTATCATACTTTTTTACAGATTTGGTGCTATGTGTATTTAAAAAAAACATTCTTGTTCTTTTACTTTGTCTTTATAATTAATATATTAGGACTCAGCGATTTGCCGTTGTGTGATAGATCTCTTTGGAAACATTTTTTTTCTTTCTGTTATTATACAGAGTAAGTTACACCTCAGTGTTAACAGACCGACACCAGGTGATTACTGTCCTCTGCTGCAGGTACGTGACGGCATGCTCTTTCTCTCCAACTACACCACTAATTGCTACAGGATCTATGGATAAGACTGTAAACATCTGGAGGCTGGAGGACGGATGCAGTGGTGGGAAACACACACACACACAGACACACACACTACTCCAAAGAGTAACATTTATATTTTGATGATTTATTGCATTTGTTTTGACTTGCAATCTATTTTTGTGTCTGCCTCCTTTTCTGCACCTTGCGTCCAATGGAAAGGCGGGAAGTCGTTGCCTGGTTAGTTTTCTTTTTATCTTGCACATTGTGTTTTTTACGTTGCCAAATGTACACTAAACAACCGCAAACAGTACAGGAGCAGTCATAGACCAGGTTTTATTGCTCCTGTTTTCATTCCCAGGTGGCGTTCTGTTTGCCAGCTCTGAAAATCGGCAGAAAATCTTGAAGATGCTGTATATGTATTTTCACTTAATATGTTCTGTTCTAAGAAAGATGAATGTCATTTGTAGTCCCTTCAATCTTTAGCAGTCTTATTTTATTGCACCTCAATACTAGAAGCTTTTATTTCATCCGTGCGCTGAGATGTGTTAAACTAGTTTCAGCTGGTGGTGAAGGACACAGATGTTGTGTACAAGAGGGCTCTCTTTTTCCTTAATCACTCTTCAGTCTGTTGCGAGTTTGCTCAGAGATTGCATTGCTCATGTTTACGGTTGCTCCTTCCTTTTTTTTCTTTTTTCTTTTTTTTTACTTTCAGAGAAGTCTGCTCTGACATCAAGTGAAGGTAAGAAGGAAGAAAATGAATGTTACGCTGGGGTGCCTGTAAAAATTATCAGTGCAGTTCCTTAAATGAGACACCAGGATAGCCTGCATGGGGAATACTTGGCCATTTATCAGAAGGTGCTGCAGCTGCCGGGGACCGACCGTCTTGCTTTGACTCGCCCTCTCAGGGAGAACCTCAGCGGGCCGATCAAAGCTGCTGGTCAGCGATTGGTCGGAGGATGATGTGTCAGCGTGGCTGGTGGAGGAAGGCCTCGGGGGGTTGGTGGACAAATTTGTGGCTAACAACATAGATGGGACAGAGCTGCTAAGTCTCACCAAGGAAACACTGGCATCAGAGATGCACATAGGTGAGGAAGACGAACATCACACACAGCTCAGCCGGTCCACTGCAATAATCTCTCATAGTCCTAATTCTTGCTTTTGTCAAAAATTTAAGAATATAAACCCGGTTTTATGGGTATTACACGCCTGGTCTCTTGTTAGAATGAACACAGAAATGTGTGGATTAGGATTTTTGTACATGTACATGGATAAAAGAAGACATTAAATTAAAGTAAGGGTGAAGAAATGAATGTTGATGGGGTTTTTACTCGGCAAGATTATATAATATTAGGCTGGACTGCAAAAGTACTCAGCTTTGGGGCTTCAGCAGTTTTGACTTTAATCTGGAGCACTTCATCAGTTACATAACCCAATCCCCATAAGGTATAAAGTGGATTTATACCTAATATCATTAGGCCTTCTTGGTTATTTCCAAGTCTGTCTGAAATTTATGTTAACCAGACTTTATATTCCTGACTTTTTCTGCAAGATTTGCAACCACAAGGCTGAAGTAGGAGTGTTATGTTGTTGATGTCAGTCAGTCTCAGCTAGGCCAATATTCGTCATTAGTAGTTGTCAGCAAATGTTTGTTGTTTTGCCATGCCGTCATCTCCATCCCACAGTCGCTGTCAATCACTCCTCAGTTTGCACAGCTTCAGTGGTGGGACAGCTTGTGTCCACATTGTTCTGCTTTTAGTTAACGTAGCACGGATCCCACCTTTTCATCACAACTAATTCAGAGAAGAGTATTGAGGAGAAACGTGCTTTTGTTTTCCACTGCAATGAAAGAAACAGGCATATTTTTCAAAGGTGGGAGTGAAATCAATAAGTGAGCTTTCCTTCTAAAGAGGCAGCATAACAAAATGTAACACAATGTACCATAAAGTGTATCAGGGAGTCTACACAGTATTTTGTGCTCAGCTCTAGTTAGCGCTTTATTTTATGAGAGCATTCATTTTTATATGTTAATAAATGCTTCTAATAACGCAACAGATATGCTCAACAGTGTTTCTCAAACAACAGTATTCAAATTGAAATGCCCTTGAGTGCCAGCTTAGTATTTAACTTCGAATTGGACAGACAGTCAGCAGACATGGTCTGCTCCCTCCATCTTCACTCTCACCCACGCTCACATTTGCCATCCAAGAGTGAAAAGCGCTAAACGCAGGAATAACAAATGCTCAGAACCTTGATATTATTGTGTATGTTAGTGTTTGTCAGATCAGCTTGTTCCACATGATGCTCCAGTGATTTCTTTTGTAATTTCAGCACACAAAGTCTTGTCTGTTTTCTTTTCTGCCACATGTACTTATTCTCTTGCTCGTGTCTGTGTGTGTCTGTGTGTGTCTGTGTGTGTGTATAGAGTCAGTAGGCCTGCGCAGTAAACTCCTGAGGAAGGTGGAGGAGCTGAAGAGTGATTCAGTGTGTTCAGGCATTCCTGATGAGTTCCTTTGTCCAATCACCAGAGAGCTAATGAGGGAACCAGTCATTGCTGCTGGTATGCAAAGATCACAGCTTTTCCTCCTTACACAATTTACATATAATGACAACATTTAAGTTCATGAACTCATCAGACACAGACTCCAAACTTTTGTTTCTTCAATGGATTTGTTTGTTTAATTTGAGTGTACTGTGGACATCTCCGAACAGATGGATACTCATATGAAAGAGAGGCCATCGAGAGCTGGATCAACACCAAGAACCGTTCCAGCCCTATGACCAACCTCCCCTTACTGACAACTCTGCTCACCCCTAACCACACGCTGAAGATGGCTATTGGTCGCTGGAAGACCACCAACTAGCATCCGAAAAGACCTCTGTGCCCTAAATATTGTCCCTAAAGTAGACAGAAACCAGAATCGAGTGTTCCCAGGGATGCTACAGCATTTCAAGGACAGGTGTGTCTGACTTTCTTTACTGGCAAGCTGCAATTTTTGACCGCTGGGGAGCAGGAAGGCAAACATGTAAACATAAATGTACTGGCCAAAATGCTAGTAATCAGTTACAGATACCGTGCAATATTGATGTCACAGGGATATAAAGCGGCTGTAATCAATATTTTTATACTAACAAAGCTTTATAGTGAGTTTCAGGTATTTTGAGCTGTCTGGCCCACAACTTGACTGTTGTGGTGGACTTCTCACTACGCTCATAATACCTATTATAATGGTGAAAATGTCTGAAAGCTACATGAGCTACAGACTGGAGTGTTGATTTGCAGTTGGATCAGCAATACTAACAACCCATAGAAATTAGCTTAAAGCTGAACAGAGCTTTAATTGAACATTATTAATGTTACTTACTGAAAACACTATTTGCACTATCTGCAGTTAAGCATTACATGTGCATGTCTTTGGATTGTCTGAGCATTGCAAAGCCTTGCTTATTACAAACCCTGTGGGAATAGTTCTTGGCTAAAGTGGTTTAGGGTTGTGTTTCTTGTACAAACAAACATCCAGCTTTAAAAGAAATTAATGACATTAATGAAGGCATTTTTGCAATATTCAGAAATTGATTTGTCCACATTTTTATACAAGTACTTTATTCTCATGGCTTGGTTAAATGTCAGTTTTGATAACTTAGGTTGTACTGAGAAAGACCTCTTATTTATCCATACACACTCTGAAGCTTAGGCAACATTTTCTGGATTATACTGTGAAAGAAGTAGATGTAGAAATATAGTCCTCCATTAATATTTTATTATACCACAATAATCATGTGGTAACATTCTGCAATCCATAGTATAACTGTAAAGTGTATATGACAACTATGGACATATACAGCAATGTAAGAAGTCTCTTAAGATTTGTTATCCTCAACTGTTGCTCGTGTAAATGCTCTCTCTGTGTGTCCAAATAAATCAATAAACACTTCATATGAATGTCTTCTGCTATGCAAAAATAAATAACATGGATATTGAAGCCATCAATTCAATATTAGATTTTGACAAGAAGTTTCCAACAATGTCATGTACAGTGCCATTTTTATCAAATGTACCAAGAAAAAGAATCTCAAGTACACAAAGTGATTTCTTTTGAAGCCTGTAATTCTGACAGATAACTACTTACAGGGAAATATATCATCTGCAAATATAGTGTACACCGTACAAATATAAATGTTATTTAAAAGACACTTGACAATAGAAATGGTCATATCCTGCAACTAACAGCATGAGGTTGTTTTATATTCATGCACAAAGCTTTCTTTGACTTCTATACTGTATTTGATATAATAAATTTAAAGTTTAGACAATATACTACTTATGTTTTTAAATCCCTACTTAAGGTATGTCTGGTTTTCTTGAATACACTAGTGTAGCTGTAGACATGTAAGCAAAAGCATAGTAGCCTGAGTTGAACACTGGTTCTAGATTGTAAATGCAGGGCAGCAGCATAACTCTACGAAACAGGCTCAGGGAAGGGAGCCACACTCAAACCAGTCTCCCTTGCTACCTTATGTGGGACATAGTTTGTTGAAAACAGCCTGTATCTGTGCTTTGATAAACTATATTCAGACGTTGGACTCTATAAATGAGCGTTTGGGTTTGATGGGAGCCATATGCAGAGCCGGGTTGTCTCTCGTTAAGCTCGCCTGTCTGTGCCTCCCATCGGGGAAGCGTAGCTGGGAGGATGCCGTGCCTCTGGCCTCTCGCTGGTGGAGCCGCTCTCCAAATTCCCTGCCCTGCTGCTGGCTGTTTGCCTGACTTCCAGAGAGCTGCTCCTGGAATGAAGCGCGTTTGAACTCATTGTTGAACCCTTGAAACTCCATTACGGACATACTGAAACTCTCCACCCCTCCTCCTCCTCCCTGCCGGCTCAGGCCAGAGGTCAGCTGGCCCTGGACTCGCACTGATTTGTCCATTACTCCCATGAAGGGCCGGGGCTTTAGCTCAGGTTTTGTCTTGAAGCTACCACTGCTCTTGATGGGGCATGGGGTGTCCGACACCTGCTGCCTGCCGCCGTCTGATAGGTTTCCACTAGAGGCCTGACTGGAGCTGGAGCCCCTTGAGCCTGCTGTTCCTCCTCCTCCACCACCCTCCCTCCTAACCTCCATACCAGACCCCAGAGCAAGAGCCAGGCCATCCAGAGCCGCAGAGTGGGTGGAGAGTCTATCAGAGCCCCTGGAAAAGCTGGAGGAGCGGGGCTGGTACATCTGGAGAGGCCCAGGTGGGGATGAGCTGTTGGGGGACATGGGGTGAAAATGCTCCGTGGGGCTGTGTCCAGAGTGTTCATTGGCCGATCCAGGGCCGATGTCAATACCCAGCACTGGCGCAGGCCTCAAAGAGGTGGAGATGTGTCTGCCTGGCAGAGGACTGGAGGGGCCACACAGAGAGAGAGGCCTGCCCCCGACTCTGTTCCCTGACTGGAGGGAGTGGCAGTGGTGATGAGTCCTGCTGCCCTGGTTCTGGGTCTGCCTATTCATAGCAGGAACATGCTCAGGCATTTCCACAAACAGTTGGTTCTGCACATATTCCTCTTGAGGGAAACATGGCGACTGATCTGCTAAACCAAAGGCCACACCTCCAGGGAGAGTCCTGTTCGGAGCGTACGGATTCAGAGGCCAAAAGTCTGGACTTTTCCCACACTGCAAACTTGCTTCCTCACCTTCCTCCTTCTCTGCATCAGTCTGCTCTGATTGGATTTGTCTCTCTAGACTTCCTTGTGAATAGACGTCTGTCTCCTCCTCTGTGGCTTGATGGTGGTGGGTGTGAGGGTCCCTGTTGTAACCTTGTGCCATGTTGTTGCTTGATGCCTTCTGATAATGTTTGCATTCCTCCTCTACCCGTACCAGCAGGCGCCGGATCTCCCGGTTAGACGGGGAGAGTCGTGCTGCTTCGTGGAGGTCTGCCAGCGCTGCAGCAAACTGCCTGGGGAGCATGAGAAAAAAAAACCTTAACTTTACAGTGCCACAGAGATGTAGCATCCCAGTTAATTGCTGATTCTCATATGTCTGACTTTCCATTGAGTAAAATGATATTGCTTTGAAATAATATACATTATTTATTATGGTTGTACCTGCTACTCCTCTTGGCACGTGCTCGGGCATAATACGCTTCATAAGACTTGGGTTTGAGTTCCAGGGCTTTTGTTGCAAAGTCCTCAGCTATGCCAAAATCCTGTGTTTTCAGATAGGAAAGTGCATTTAGTTTTTGAATTTCAATGTAAATACCATACACAGCACAGTAACAAACTATGGTCAGCTGTGTGTTTACGTGACCATGTCTGCAAAGCAAACATGTTCCAATCTAATCTGAGCCAATTCCAGTAAAAATAGTGTTTGTGTTTGTATCTTCGTTTTATGGATCTGGAAGATTGAATCCTGTGTAATGAAACAGAACATACGCTGCAATCATTTTTATTGACCAGTGAACAGAGGAAAAGAGAGGAAGAGAAACTGACAGAGAGCAGCTTGTTTTTCTGATGGTTTTTACTGCTCTCATCATCACTTTCAGGTGAGTATTTAACAACACAAATACATTGTGATTCCATCCTTGAGAGTGAGGTCAAAATGGCAACCTTCAATGTGAGATTGTGAGTATTGCTGCTGAATGTTTAATGATGGTATCATGTAGTCTCTCTGCTGGCCCTTACTGCCTGCATTCTGATATAATATGTGGATTTAGCCAGCCCACTCGCACGTCCACTGTAAATAACCCCCTGTAGAGACAGAGAGAAAGAGAGTCCGCTTGGTCTGCCAGAGAGAGTGACCTTATCACATCACATTATCTGCTCCATTATTCATCGGCCACAGTGACCCTAAGGATGGCATTTTTACACAGTCTGTTAGGACGGCTGTCATCACCAGGGTGGGTTCCAAATCTGGCTGCAGGCCACACACATCTATCTCTACACTAACAGCACACAGTTATTCATTATGTCACCACCTGCTTCCAGGTCTTACACGTACATTTTGTTTACCAGGGAGACATGAAATTAGATCTGAAAAGCAGAGATATTTTTACAGTGCTGCTGTCATTATCTTTTTATGTTGATACAGATAAATTATATATCTTATGGAACCATCTACCTCGCCTTGCCAGCCCTCCTGCCATCTCATCAGCGTCAAATGAACCTGCCAGCGTTAAATAGTGTATGAGTAGTTTAATACAGCTGTGGGCCTTACATTGGTTTTCCTGCGGCAGCGGGAAAGGTTTAGATAGAGGGAGACTCGCAGGTCCTTGAGCCCTTTCAGCTCCTCTCCTTGTCCCTCACGAGGTAGCTTCCTCAGGGCGTACTGATATCGCTGGCCTGCCTCCTTCATACGTCCCTTCTGAGTAACACACAGAAAGGAGATAGGGAAGGCCATTTTTGACAGCTAATCCACAAAAACACCTTGTTTGAAGTCTACTACAATAAAAGGTTGCAGGGTTTCCCACACCCTCACACCACACTATAACATTCACCATAACATACCTTGTAAAGTATGTTCCCTTCCTCCATAAGCTTCTGCAGCAGGATGAGGAGAATGTCTGGTTTGGAGGAAGCCATAGCCCATGTAGCATGACCTGATGGAGGGGTACAAATATTTATCTTTCTATTATATGTCTCACCTAGTCTCTTTTACTTTGTGTCTTACATAAATCATGTACCTGATCGATCATGTGGAGCCGTTTTGTAGCCTTCCAGTTGATGAAGGAGAGCAACAGAGGATGGAGAAGGAGAGAGGGAGTTATAGGAAGTGGATGTAAAACTGCTGGTGCTGCAGGATAGAGTGTAACAATATACTGTATGGAAGTAAAATGGGCAAATGTAAAGGAATATAAATGCAGAGTGTACAGGTGTAAAAGTCTAGCACATACATACAAATATATACAAGAGAGCTAAGTCTTCATTGATTGGTTGAAGTCAGATAGAATAGTCAGTTTAGCCAGAGAGGTGTTGATTCAACTTTATGCTCATTTAAGAGGATGTACTGCAGTTTGTGGAGCTGTTTAAATAGGTGGGTGCTATGTGTAATGATAATAATAATAATAATGATAGCTGTAGCACTTTTTAAAACATGGTAATTATACCCATCTTGGATCCCTTCTTAAGCAGTGAGGCCACTAGGGCCGGGTTCTGGCAGCCAGTCGTCCGGTCTGAACCTCTGGCACCGTTGTTATCAGCTCTCTCCAGCACTGCTCCATGTTCCACCAGGCAATGCACCTGGCCGTGCGTGGAATAATAACAACATATTATATTTATATTTAAAAGGTAAATTATTAGATATTTAAATCATTTGGTCTTTATACACTTTATGCTTGACTACATTAGCAACAACGCTGTCTGCCCCTTTTTCATCCTGAATGATTTTGGAAGATTTTTGATCATCAGATGCCATAGTTTTGATTACTGTCCCGCTGATCAATAGATTACATGAATACGAGCAAAAATGCTCGGTTGAAGTTTCTCCACATGAACTGTGATTACAAATTCACGTCCTGTGTTGTGGATGCAAATGATTATTATTGTTATTTTTAGTGAGTATAATTTATTTAATTTGTCTAAAGTAGCTTAAAATGTGTTTTTGTGAGTGTGAGACAATTATGTATTGTACTTTGCTAATCCTATTTTAACAATTAATATGCTTTGCAGCTAATTGTCAAGTATACACTTCTCAACCAAGGTCTCTTAACTGCAAACTACAGGGGGAAATTTTTTTTGTTTTGGTAAGGAATATTTACAAGTAAATGCAAATAAAAGTATATCAAATAAATCTCTATTTTTCCCCTCCATTGTCAACATCGTCTCAACAACAACATAAAACCCACTGTATCTGCATCCCCGTTTAGGGCAGCTAGGTCAAGAGGAGTCCGTCCCTGTCTATCCGGTTGGTTTACGTCTGCGCCTGCCTCCACCAGAAGCTGCACCACTTCTTTCTGGCCCTTCAGACAGGCCCAGC